GCGACCAAAACTGGTCTGCATAGCAGGATCAATGCTGGATGTACCATCTGCCAAGATTATGTCGCCTTGAGAGTTCATCTGGGGCTCAACCGTGGAAATCTTTTTATCAGATCAGAGGAAGACCTTGCTACCGGCGCTTCTGATTTCCTCCAATATCTTTTGGGCCCTGTGAAGCCGCTTCTCCTTGGATGCTGCCGAAATTAGGTGTCGACGTGGCATCGTGTATGAATCAAGGCCCAAATGGTCGTTTATGATTCTCCTGATCGTTTTGGGCGAAAAATCGATGTCCTTTGGCAGTTTGCGCATGCTTCGCCTAGGATTTCGAGACACCATCTTGTGCACGATATCAACCAGCTTTTTGGTGCGGACATGCCTTGTTCTGCCTGGGATTGACTTCATCGACGCATGCAAATTTTCACTAAAATCCGTCCAAAACTTTTTGAGTTATGGGGTGAAAACAAACAGGTAAATCTTTCTGCCCCACCCTGTAAGGTGTAACCCGTGGGATTATCTGCAGCGTGCGGGTGACCCGCGAGTGACAAAACCAATCCGGTTGTCGTCAGTGTTAGACGTAAAATATGGCCTTAGTGCCCGTGTCTGCCGATCGATGTGCTGGGATGGCGACGGCCCAAGGAAACCAGCAGCGACTGGCACTTACACATTTCATCAGTGGATTAGCAAATCAGCGGTGACTACAACTGGCTTCGGCCTATGACTTTGCAATTTTGCAATGTCTTCTGACACCGTTCGCTAGTGTTATGACTATGGCAACACCCAAAGCTGCAAGGGCAGCTTCGAACCTTCCATTATATCAACCAACATTCTGAATATCATTCAGCTCAGTTATCGATGTTCGTGAGATCAATAAAGTACAATCAAGGACTAGATATGATTCAGGCACGAGTAGATTTGGGAAGTAAGTGGCATAAGGGACCGCAGGGAACCATCAGCCATATCTCGCGCAGAAAGGTAATGACCCGTAATATGACGACGCGACATTACTGCGAGATACGATATCCTCACCAGAGACAGAAAACATGTCATATGATGAGACATAATGCTACATTATTCTGCTCTTGATCGACAATGGAAAACGACAGGGTAACTTAGAAGCTAGTCAACAACAGCAATGACAGATCGAGACTTTGTCTCATTCCCTTGCCCATGAACTATGATCATCATACATACATAAGATTATCGACAGCCTGTAATACCTTGGTTGTAACAAAAAGCAGAAAAAATAATAATCAGGGATTAATTAAATAAACTGACGACAACGTGAATGCAGTGGCGCGGGAACGTCTTCCAGACTGGGGGGGGGGGGGGGGCTGAACCATAATAGAGATCAACCTAGGGTACCCCCAAATCTAGTTTTCTCACCGGTTTTAGGCCACTTATTTTTCAGACTTTGGCCTTTTCAACAACAACAAAAAAAACGAAAAAAATTGCAAAAAAAGTGAGGTATTCCGTCTCAGCTGAGTGAAGAAACTACTGTTTTGGCAACCTGGAGTAAAGGTTTTAATCTGCCAAATGAGTTGCCAAGCCAGTGAAAGAGGTGGATTTTTCACTTACATGCTTTCTTCCTTTGTGACCCACAACCCCTAATTTGGGGAGGACAAGCTGCCCAACGGTTCCTGGCCTCATGAAAAGCTGTGGGGCACCGCCCCCACGGCCGCAGAGTTGTGAGGGCAAGCTTCCCCCACTGCCCCCTCCCCCGGTTCCCGCGCCTATGTATGAATCTATGAAATTATGTTGGTAGATTTCCTATTTCGATTCCTCCAGCTAGGGGGGGGGGCTCAAATACATTACGAGCCCCCCCAGCCGAAAAGCTGGGGGGGGGCTCAGCCCCCGCTAGCCCCCCCCCCCGGTTCCCGCGCCACTGCGTGAATGCATGTAATGTATGTGTGCTGTGTCTGAATACATGCAATTGGGTAAATTTCAGCTGTTAAACGTAATTCTAGCCAGGAATAATGCAGGCAAGTTTAGTGCACTGCTTCGTAAGGAAAGTTTACAGAGCAGCGTGGACCACCTTTCACCCATGGCCTCTCTCGATAGTCGTGCCACCGAGCGGGCTTAGGACGGGGTTAGCTGTGGATCGACAGGCCGGCTCGGCCCACGGCAACAGGTGTGAGCCGGTCGCAGTCGACACCACTGGCCGACTGGCCGTATGGGTCTACCAACGAGACGACAGCCGACTAAACAATACACAATACACACAGACGAGAGGAAAGGTAACGACAGAAACCTACAGCAAAGCAAACGAGTATACAGAAAACTAGACAACAAAACAAAGCAAAGCGCCACCCAATCACCGAAATACCCTCTACAGCACGACCCAACTTCAAATATCAAACTGGAGGGTTAACGACAGCAAAATTAGCAACAAAACCAAACCAAACCAAACCTAAATAGCACTCGGGGTGGGACGCCATCCTCCCATATCACTTACTTGACATTGTTAACGTTAGTGCCGAGCCTACGTAAGCTAGTGAGACAACAGAGAGAGCCGATCGTTCAGCCGTCGGCCCACTCACCGAAGACCATCGTGGCGCCCCGCCACCCCCCGGAGGCCCTCTAGACCGGCAAGAGCGCGCGCCCCGGGTCGGCGACCAGCACGCGCCGCGCGCGCCGACTGAGCCGTCGCGTCGCTGCCGTCGTCGCCGCCGACGCGGGTGCGCGGCCGGCACCGAGAGCGTACCGGGACGGCGGCGGCGGCGGCTCTGTGTCGACCAATCAATCGATGGGCAAAGCTTCGGAGCAACAACAGTCGATAACAACGCACCCGCTGACCCTGACATGCCGAAAGTGGCCGCTCCTGACGATCCTGTCAATCGCGGAGCTGGCACGACGAGAGAAAAAGACAGTCCGCGGCGAATGGGCAACAGGTGGGACAGGTGTCAGCCATGGGAGGAAATGGACAGACAGCGGCTCTACTATATAAGCCAACATGTGGCTCTGTACCACGGCCACGGAGCGGCCATTCAAACGCTACGTGCCTGATGTAGCCGGGCGAAGTCGTCACGCGTCGACAGCAGGTCATATAAAACACGAGATCAGGACGCCGGGCGCATCCATTAGCCGATTGCCTCGCTATGGACAACGCCACGAGCTATGGAAACCCTGGGTGGCGGTCAGAAGCCAACAGCACCAAACCTTCTTGCCGGATGTCGACCGTGGGTTACCAACATCTAAACCCCGTCCTAAGGGGCCGCAAAACCTACCAAGCCACAGTCCAACTAGCTGTCGAGCCGTCACCTACCACTAGGCACCATAACATCAGTATTGGATGCTGTTCATGGTCTACCACCACCCAGCCTCTACTACCCGTCCCAAACCGCAACTCTCGGTCTTGTGCGCTACTTACGAGCCGCGAGCACCGCGCCAGACGTCGGCGGCCGTAAAGGAACTCCGTCTAACCTCAAACGCGACTGGCGAAATGGAGGAAACCGACGCAGGCAGCCGCTAAGTGCTTGGCGCGTCCTTGACCTTTGCTGGGCAGTCGGAGGCTGTTATGCCTCGCTGAGAGCTTTTAGCAGCTCAAACGAGGGAAAGGAGTTCATTTGGTGCACTCCCGCTAACATCAGTGGGACAAGTGAAACACCAAGAAACACTTATGATAACAATTACTTAGTTTTAAGCCTCTTAACGGACTAGGCCCCGTAGGGTAGATTAATCTCTGCTGTCTAAGACAGCGAGCAAAACCCGACACACATAGTGTATAGCGGTCCGAGGGCAGTGCGTTGGTGAAATAGGTTTACCGACGCCAATCTCCGAAAATGCAGCTTATAGTAAAGGCGGCGACAAATTCCTTCAAGAATTCCGTCCATTTTGTGTAAAATGAGAGTGAATCAACGACCTTCGATAGGAAATTACAGCCTGATAATATTGTGGGAGACCATTCACGAAGTTCAAACTATCAAAGAGTGGTGCAGCATACAACCCTAATGCAAAGTTTCGCGTGCGATCAATTAAGTGACCCGAGCGCGTGAGAATCAGTCGGGTAGTTAATGAAAACACAGAACGGACTACGGGCCCACAGTCCGCCCGAGTTGTTACCCCGTTCGCCTTAAAGCCAAAGTTCGTAGACGCCTAATAGATTAGCGTCGTATGACGCACTTCGCGCCAAAGGCGACAGCATGCTTTCAGAACCACCCACCAATACATTATTATCAGCCAGCTCGGCTTTTGGTCTACTAAAAAGCACTAAAGCTAGTTTTCCTTATAATTAATATCCGTCAAAGTTCGCTGTCCACGACAAAGCCGCAAACCACACAGGACAGTGAAATATGCCCCCAGCACTACTGCAGCTACCCAGGCAGGATGTTTGTCTAGCTCACAGAGCGTCTTCCTAGTATTCAGAGCGTTCGATACAAGCATCCATCAGAAAAACCAGCCCCATCTCTCAAGGCAACTCAATGGCTGAGGCTACCGAATGGAAAGACGCTGGCATCAGTGGGGTATCTTCAGGTAGTCGATTCTCTTGTGCCTGAGCTACGGTGTTTGGACGTGCATTGTACAGCGATCGTTAGTTATCAGCCAATGGGATTGATCAGTTGTGGGTTAATGCAATGCTACACGTGCGCATAACTATATCGGGTTAGTGCGCCACACATGCATTGCGTTAAGACCGGATTGGTGTGCGTATAAATCCGGACGCCTCCATTATAATATCGAGCGGCTCGCCGATGGTCCTCAAGAAGTGGCTATGAGTTGCACTAAATCTACGAGACCAGGGCCCCGTTTCATAAAGCGAGTCCGTAGGTTACGCCGTTTTTTGGGCTTGTATTGCAAGCCGCGCATGTGAAGTGATAAATTTATTTCCCCTTCTCTCTTCTGTTCTTGCTTGCAAGGGTTCACACTATCGTCTTCGCTTCACATGCGCTTGCAATGCAAGACCAAAAAACGCCGTAAGTTACGGACTCGCTTTATGAAACGAGACCAGAATTCAGTACCCGAACCCGCACCTGTCTTCCACATTGTCCCCTGGCCGTCTGACTGACCTCTCATTGGCGGCTGGTTCATGAGGATGGCCAGCGGGCAGTCGTCGTCGTCCAGTACAAACTCGTTGAACGGCCCGGTCGGCTGGCGGTACTCGGCCGACTCGGGCTGAGGGTCCTGGGTCACCACCTGGGTACGGAGACATGGGTGAATGATCGGGTTACAAATATCGGCCGACTCGGGCTGCGGGTCCTGGGTCACCACCTGGGTACGGAGACATAGGTCAACGGTTACAAGGTTACACATACTCGGCCGACTCGGGCTGCGGGTCCTGGGTCACCACCTGGGCAGACGGAGACATGGGTCAACGATCGGACAGTTACACATACTCGGCCGACTCGGGCTGCGGGTCCTGGGTCACCACCTGGGCAGACGGAGGCATGGGTCAACGATCGGACATATACAAATACACATACTCGGCCGACTCGGGCTGCGGGTCCTGGGTCACCACCTGAGGACGGAGACTCGGGTCAACGATAAGACGGTTACACGATACCACTCACATGCAGCCACCACATGACGGTAATCACACGTGATGAGTAAAGGCGGTCACCAACGGTCACCACACGACACCGTTGTAACCACACAACCAGAGCAGTCACCACACGGCTAATTCACCCACCATTCAACACGTCTTGACGCGTCACAACACGGTTACCATATGATCACCGGCCACCAAACACGTGATATGAGTGACACTACGAACGGTAAGGTGGTATCAGCGTAGCAGAATAAACACTGATCACAGGGACCTATCCTACAAGTGTATCAACTGTCATTGTGTACCCAGCAATCCGGATAATATCCAATTCCACAGAATTGTCGACGAGATCCGCCACAGGACAATATCCACTAGTCTGTGTGGCATAGCATATCGGTCCACTGGGTGTCGTTGAGGCTGCCCAGAATGAAAACACACAGACAGCAATAAAACAACTCCGGATGGCGCTGCATGACTACGTTGGTTTACTTCTCTTCAATACTCTGCCGGCTGAATTCTAGGCACCGAGTTCTGACAACATCGTGTTGATATCTTTAGAGAGAGAAAAAAAATATACGTAAAGCCAAACAACACGTGCCAATACCGGCAATGCATAAAGGACCGAATTGAAGAACACTAGCGGACCAAAAACGGAAAAGAGAAATGAGAATCAGTGCATCGCGATAGATCAGAAAAAGACACCAATCAGTCAGGACATCTGCAAACTTAACTACACCACAGCAGCTGGCCCAATAAGCAACGCAGCCATGTTCGAGCTCATTTTATGGTTCAGCTGCCACGACTTATCAAAATAAAACCACACCAACTACTTGCTGATAAGTCTCCACGACTTCAGAGCCAACAGCAGTGCGAGCCACGATGCCATTTGTCCATCCATGCGTACCGTACCGACTGCCAATCCAGCACAATGCACACACTTTTCGGGCAAGTGGCTAGCATTATCAGTCGCCCGTTTGTCACCATACGCTAGGCTAGGCATTGTTTATGTAGAGATAGGGCCACATGCGGTCTAGCCTTTTGTGACACAATGACTCTGGAGTCTGGACATGCAAATTACAAAAAAAAAACAATGCATGATTTTACGCGAGTATTATCTAACCGATAATGTCGTCTCTGCAAACACAGGTGTCGCCACCTATCGGTACGCACAAGGCACCACGCTAACTTACACAGGCCATCTAAACAAGTTACCGTGAAGTTAGTGCCTAAGTTGTCACCATATCAACAACGCATTCCATTTAATCCACCTAGAATAGTCGATAGTTGACATTAGTCCCCTCGGCCACTAATCCCTTCGGCATATTTCCAATTGTTGCAACTGAAAACAGGCTGTTGTTGGGATCCTAAACCATCCCCTCACCTGAACCAGAGCGTAGTTGTTGGGATCCTCCGAGTGTCGTCCGTATTTTTGGAGCATCTCAGCCACCACGACAGCGGCGGTGTCCGTCACAGACAGCAGCAGCGTCTTGTACGGAACCTCGCTGCACAAACTCTCGCCGTAGATCTGAGCGAAACAGAGAGGTGCGGTAGGTTAGGAAGGTTTCAAGGCATGACATCAACGAGCGATTGTGACAAAGGTGTACTTTTACCGTAAAAATATCAATAATTCATGCTTGCAGCAATTGAGTTCGCAAAGCAATATAGAACAATCAACGGTTCAAAAGAAACTAAAGCTTCAACAGTTTAAGAACTAATGAGTCTGAACCATTTAATGAAACATGCGAGTAAATCGTAAATCGGTCGTAAATCGGCCGTTACATGTCATTGGGCACAATGAACGAAAGCAGTGGGACACCAGACGCTTTACCAGATGTAACCGTCGGGACCTTGTCTCACAGCATGCCGCTCTCCGCCGCTACCATGTTGGCGCTAGCCGCCAGGTGTCCATGGAAAAGTAAGCAAGCATGTCAATTTCGCCTACGTTTTCATGGAAAACGAGCGCCAAATGCCTGGAAGCAGCGGGCAGCTACGTGCAGGGCCCAAGTCACTATCCCTCAGCGGTACATACCTTGAGCGTGCCGCCGGTGTCGGGTCCTCCGTCCCGGCTGCGGAACTGCTGCAGCTTCTTCTCCAGCTTCTGCTGCCGCCGGCGCCGCATTACTGCCTCCGGGTTACTGATGGAGCGAGTGAAACTCGTCTCCGGCAGCTCTGCAGAAAGGACAGTCACAAGATTGCATTTAGTGGTAAATGACAAAACTCAGGGCAAAATGTGACGTGGGGTGCGAAATCATGTTTAAAATGTTTGTATAAGGTATCCAATACGAGCATAACATGCAGCCATAAATGTCGGTAACTCTTCACCAATTCTAATCTCACTGCAATATAACCGTACAATTTCAACCCACTCGATGTCTGACTGCAGTAATTTCGACCCGAACTGTTCATTTGGCCCTTGATGTTTGAGCCTCCCCACACAGCCGGTCACCACGGGTCGATTGTGAAGCCGGTCAATGACGAGCAATGACCATCGACCAGTCAGTGAATAAACCAGCCAGCCGGCCAGCGGAGAACCGCAATCGCAAAAGCCATTGATAGGAGGTAACGAAAAAAGCATCTTACGCAATAGGGCTGATAAAAGAGAAAAAATCACGAGTGACTGAGACACAATACAAGTCAGAAACTAGGCTACGTCCCTGTATGACTGAGCATTCCATGCTATATTATCACTTGCCCAAAACACGACAAAAAGCAGCTGCATACAACTTATTCAAGATATGAGTTTTCACTAGCTTGGACCAACAAAGCCTACGAAAAGCACAGGACACCGGCAATTGTAACAATGAAGAAACGGAGATAGCCAAGATTCCTCCTTACCGGTATAGAGTTTCTCGGCGACGCCCGGGTCGTTTTCGTTGCTGCTCTGCATGCGTCGCAGCTTGTCCTGTTTCTTCATCTGCTTCTTTTCCCTCCGGCTCAGCTTCCGCTTGAAGTTGCTGTCGCCGCCGCCGCCGGTCGGCTCTCTGGTCGGATTCAGGGACTGGAAAACAGGCGGTGGCGTGACTGACAGGTCAGAATATGCTGGGTGATGGATAACTCACAGTACATTTGGCGTTCAGTTATGACTTCTGACAGAAAGATAGGCAATTTCAGACAAGCAGTTTGCGCTTGTTACACACTGAACAGACATGACTGAAAGTAAGTCAGATGTTGCTGAGAAACTTGTTGATTAAATTATCAATCTGTCAGCTGGAAAATGAATAAATGACGAGAATACTGGCACCCGCTTAACTGCTTAAAAAACACATTTAAGAGAATAAAGACTACGCATTTAATCGGTGAATCCTACCAAAGAACTCGGACAATACCTAGACGGGGCATTCCACGTCAAGTGGGACAAAAAATGACCATTTTGAACCTCACCTCCTCCGATTTTTGCGAAACTTTGTGAAACTACTCATCTATATGTGAAAAGAAAGGAGACATTTTTTTGTCAAGATATGACGTCACGTTTCCGAGATACACGTCATCAAACATTGACTTAGGCAAGGCACATTATCATCTTTAAAGCGTCATAACCATTGAAGTTTTAGACATATCACCACGGGACAATGTGTGAAATGGAGGGAATAGATTAGGCTTTAATTTGAGAATAACAATATTGACGTAATTAGCTAATTAGTGAATTTAATTAAAATTCGAAAATTTTTTTTTTTTCTGAAAAATGGGTACCCTTCGATTTTGTTGATTTTTACATATTTTATTCTCCTATACACTAGCTACATCATATAAAAAATTCAGAATGGGCCGACGTCTACGTAACTGTGTTTTGGACTTCGCAATGTCTGGCACTCGCGTGTTTCGTTTTAGCAACCAAGGAGAGGCGCTACCCGGAGATGCTTCTTTCTGCCCCAAACCAAAGCAAACCTAACCTAACCTGACGTGACCTGACCTAATCTAACACGCGTAAATATGTACAGCCCTCACGGCAGTTCCCCACTGGCCATGTGCTAGTGTGCTACTTAGATACGAACAGTAGCCCTCACGACATTGGCCGGCTGGCCAGATGCTACTTAAAGGGACAGTATCACCATTTTGATGAAATTTGACATTGCATAGGCCCCACCTTTCTGGTCCGGGAACTGAAGACCGATCCTCGAAGCTCCACACCGTTATCCCGCTATCGCCGCTCAAAGTACGAAAGGTGTACCACACTTTGAATCGTGCTTCACTATCTTCACTGTTTAAATGTTTGCGCCGTTTTGAATTGACCGCCAGTAATAAAACTTTTACCCTGGTCATTTCATCAAATTTTATAAAGCCAAAACGTTTTTCGCACTTATTCATCACCGTTAAATTCATTAAATAGTCGTAGGCAATTTCCGCTGTTTCCTTCGGATTCTAGCGGCTCAACAAAGGAATTCCTCCAGCTTGAATCACAATCTCCCTCCAATGTATGACGTTTATCACGTGATTGTCACGTGATATTTTCTCCCATTGTCAATTGTCACGTCCAATTGTCACTCCCTCCAATTGTCACGTTATATTTTTATAGGCAATACCTAAGGCTACCTCTCCCTGAGGACAACTCAATCAGAAGAACGACCGCGTAAGCGTAGCGTCAATAATGTATTATCTGCGCCAGTTCTGTAGTAATTTTGCATGCTTCCAAACTGGCGGCCATGCTTGTATAGTGGTGGTTCGCTCATGAAAATGAATCATGAAAATGAAATGTGGTTGCAATATTTTTCACCGAGTTCGGTCCTCAAACTATGTTTTTCTGATTCAGAAAAATAAGAAATGCTAGTAAAAAAAAAATCAGCTCCATACATGGATTTTTTTTTCGATGATACTGTCCCTTTAAAAAACAAATGCGTGTTAAAACACTTGAGGCTGACCAGCCGCGAGCCAGCCACCTTTAGATTACGAAGTGGGTACACTCGGCACACTAACTACTAAGCCACGAAGATAGCTGGTCATCGCGGAGATGTAAGCCATTTTTTTTAATGATGCAATTGGGCATTCTCCGGGCAGCGCCTCTCTTTGGTTGCAAAAAGAATATACGCCTGACTCTCCCAGCGCTAGGGGAGAAAGGCCCAGTTTAGCCAAAAAGGTATAAAAAAAAACGGAATTTGAAGTGTATGTGGGGCGGTGGGCAACTTTATCGTGTGCCAATTTCATGGCCCTAGATCAATGTCTTCAAGATCAAATGAGGCTAAACGTGATCAAATTTGCTATAGTGACTATTTTGCGTGTATACGCCCATAGCTCTAAAAGTAGCTGGCCGATTTTCCTATCTCTTCCTTTATACGACATTTGTAGTGTTATAAGAATCTCTAGTAAATCTAACCATAAATTTGGCAGTTAGTGGCCTGCTAAGGATGTCGCCGGCAGAGGCGGGGATCGGCCGACGCGGGAAACGTTTCAGTCACAGATTGTGTTTGCACCCTTATAATTCAATTTTTACCTGTTGATTTTCGTATTTATTTGACCATTAAATTGCCTGTACATTTTTAAGCCTTCACACAAAATTTGACACGAATCGATCATAATCAGCGGTAAGAAGCGCAGTGCAAAGATAGAACCGTCCCGCGCCGGCACAGTCTACCATTCAGGCGGCAACGGCCGGCGCCGGCCGGCGCGCCGCTCCGGCAAGATGTTTAACTTTACACCGGTATTACTAGAAAAGTTGGAGACCGATTTACCTATTGCTTGCACGAGAGGATTCGCAATTCAATTCTGGACAGATACTGAAAGTTTGACGATAATACAATAATTATGGCGTGAGTTATTGGCGAAAAACAGGTGGGGTTGGCGAAATCCGCCCCTTCCACCGCCCGTGCTACGTTGCACTACTTGTTGCTATATCATCTACATAAAGTTATCGTTGGCCCACTCTAATTTTCTCAGCACGTGTGCCTTACGTGTAGTGGAAGACAATATCTAAATTTGAGCAAAATCGAAGGGTACCCATTTTTCACAAATTAGATTTTAAGAAATAAATTCAAAATAAAATAAATTCAAAATCACCGAAAAATGTAAAATTTGCCGAATTTAACTAGCATAACTCCTTATGTACACGTTTTAGTTTGTTTGAAATTAATAGCTTCAAAAATATTGAAGCTATAGATCGTTCAAGATTGCAATACACGTCCTATTCTGCTAAAAAAGCAGAAGTTTAGCGGCTTGTATCTCTGTAGCCCGAGGGCATATGACAAAATCCTTTCACCCTCAGAGGTTTCATCCAATAGCCAATAAGTATACCAAGTTTGAACAAAAATCGCAGAGGTGGCCGATTTTGGCTGTCCCGGTTGACATGGAATGCCCCAGACATGCAAAATGAAGCAGGTGATTACGAGCGAGCGAGCGCAGCGAGCGAGCGAGTTCATACTGAATGAAAGGAAATTCCTGAGTATAAGCGGCCGGCCTGCCGGCCGGCCGTGGGTACGCTCTTCAAAAGCTAATATCTTAGGAACGGGACATCCGATTGACAAGCGGTCTTCTTTACTGAATGTCACTTGGACGTAAAAGTTCTGTGGTATGATGGCCACCATGCGTTCTTGCCAACCACCGCACGTGGCGCGTGGTAAAGTTGGACATTTTTTTAAGAACCCCCAAAATTGCAACCTCAATAACGGCACAACGGTTGGGCCGATTGAATTGAAACTCGGTACACAGTTAGGTCTCCATCAGATAATTCATCTGCATGTGTTAAGGTTGGGGTGCTACAGCACGTGCGCACGTGCAGGGGGCGCTTCCAGATCTCGAGAACGGCTGGGCCGATTGCGCTCAAATTTGGTACACGGTTGGGGACCAGTTAGTAGGGTGCCGTGCAAAAGTCAGTTTGGACCCCGCTTGCAAGTGCGCACGTGCAGAATGCCGCTTCCAGATCTCAGGAACGGCTGGGCCGATTGCGTTCAAAGTTGGCACACCGCTAGCGACCGGTTAGAAGGGTGCTTTGCACAAGCCCGTTGGAAGTACCCCCTCGCCCTTGCGCACGTGCAGGTCTCACTATCTCGCTCGTTCTTCGCCCAAAAGGCGTTTTACTGGTTATTTAAACGGGACACGAGCAAACACAGTGAAGTTTTGTGATAAAGCACTAGGCATGCGGTTGTCGGGAAATGACAAGCATGTAAAAGGGTGAGTCTGACCGCAATTCAAATCGATGACAATTACTCAGACCTTATCCGGAAGCTAAAACAAAATAATGGTGAGCAAAACGTATGCAACACTAGCAGCTCCCAACTGATTGTACCGGGAAACGATCACAGTGTTTGGGTAAATGTTACTTGCTCACCTTACCACGACGCGGCTGTGAAGATCACAATGTGTCAAAACACCATTCATCTGATAGTACATCATCATGGACAACAATCGAATTCATGTGTTCAGCAGCCAATATCATACAGGAAACAATCCAGGAAACAATAAAATGGCCGCACCGTAACTGAACAATAATCTGATGTGCGCTCACCCAGGGTTTTTCGTCGAGGTTTCTGAGAAGGAAGCGGCCCTCGCGGTCGTCCTGGTTCCAGTTGAGCTGCACGTGCAGCGGTCGCTCATCCATGTCCAGCTGACGCTCTTCTGAGAAATTAACGGTCAACTGTCACCATGAGGCCACGAGGCGAGCACGAAACCCACCAAATTCAATATAACAGGTCGTTGCTCCTACATAGAGACAATCCAATTAACACAGAAATGCTACTTCTAGATAGAAATGAAGTCACACTTTAAATAGATGAGCCTTGAAACTGTCATTTACTCGGACATGAGGCTGGGGAAGTGAGCGTTTGAGTGGATTTAATGACACAAACTAATCAAGAGCCGAAATAATCACAGTGAAGGATGTGAAAAAGTACCGCATAATCTTTCGAAGACTGTTGTGATATTATAATTATTGATAGCAAGACACTATAAGATAATATTATACCAAAAGACGCCAATCATATTGTCTTCACATCAACGGCTACTGATCAGGCACCTGACGCCACCCTAAAAAAACACCCACCTCCGCTCTCGTGGATCTCGTAGACGGCGAAGCGGGGAGTGGAGAGCATTCTCATGTCGGGCCGGAACTTTTCGGCCAGCGCCGCGATCACGTCTCTGGCGGTGGCCGTGGAGGACACCCGTATACATTTGGTGCACACCTTCTGACCCGAGTCCTGGTAGTAAAACCTGAGAGAAGGAGGGGTATGGTTTAGGCATCGGGTTTGCACAGACAAAAGTCACAGGTCTTCAATGTGCGTAATTACACTAATTGGTCAATTTGCAGTCAGAATGGTTACCAAGAAGGTACTCGAAGATGAGTGGTGGGAGACTGGTTGTAAGTGGCAACATATGAGAAGAAAGTGCAAACAAGAATATACTTGATCAAATACAACTGTCGCCGACGCAACGAAAGGCGACAGCGATTGGAGCGCACGAGGAACGTTAATATTTTATTTATGATTTTACTGAACGTTCCGACGGGTTTCGACGAAAAATACAGTTTTTTGAGTGCATTACGACGATTCGTTTCCCTTCGCTTTTCGTATTCGTAATATGGGAATTTTTCGCATTTAACGTAATGTATTCATCAACTCAACATTCGTGATTGTTGTAACGACAACAACTATTAAGCACGTGATTATAAAGTAAACGAAGCAAAATTAAGCTTCGAAACCGAGCACGTTTATCATTGTAAACTAAACGAACTAACAGCGTTCACCATAAACACTCAATGACAGTATTGTTTCAGTGTAGGTAGGTACTCCCCTTCCTCCCCCCCCCCCCCCACACCCACCCACCCCCGTCCTAGCTTGAGCGCAGACCGCCGCACTATTAGAACCGAGCGGGACCATAATGAGGGGGCGACAGACCGGCCCACAATACACCGCTGGCAGGTCACGGGACACACGGCGCAGCGGGGCGGACACGCAGACAGCCAGAACAAAAACGACACTTCCGACTGTCAAATGGGGGGCGATTAGCATTGTGAGCGCCTCCAAGGTTACACGCTAGAGCGCGGCGCGAACACATAAAAATGGCCAAAAAGCGTCCTGTTAGCGGTGAAATCAGAGAGGACCGTAACAGTGCTCTCGATGGGAGCGAGGCTCGATCTAACTTCCAGTCTTGATGAGACGCACCTTAGCGACTGGATTTCATTGACATAAGAATGCTAAGTTATTCTGATCCTAAATAGGCCTCGCACGGGTCCAAATAAACATGTAATCTAACTTGCACATTGTTAAACCGCCGAATTCGTTGGGTCACTGCATTTAATTCACGCCTTTCAACGGTCAGCACTACTGCAGTCTTGAATATATCGGCTGGCTCTGATCCGCGTGTCGGCACGTTCCCAGCACGGCCCGTGAGCACTGGAGCCAGTGATTCTGCGACACGCATGGCCGGCCATGTCTGACGCGGCCGAGTCGCTGTCCGTCCGTACCGCACATTCCACTGGGCGGCTCGTGGGAGAGACGGATGCAAATGACCGTCTCGCCATGCACGGCTCACGGGTAGCGACACGGGATGGACAGCAGACGATCCAGCCAGGGACGGGGGCACCTCACGACCGCCACAGACAGGACGGTGTAACACGCCAGGCGCCTGACAATGCGCCTGATCGGCCCATTTCGTGTGTCGTTAAACACATTGCATGCACTGGCGCCTAAGTCGGTCGCCGGGAGCATGCGGCCAGCCACGGCTGGATAGCTGCCCACAGTTCTGTAAATGGAGCCGCCCGAGCGGGTCGGCTAAACAAGCCGACCGACAGCGAACCTACACGACCGAGCGGGAGAACGAATCGGTCACATCCCAGTACTCGGAAAACTATCTCCGTCACAGACACAGCCAAAGGACAAAATATGGACCGGGTGGCATAGGACAAACATCTGTGTATGAGTCATGAGATAGGTAACATAATCCACTCTCGGTGAACGTTTCGGAACTGCGTTGGTCACAACAAAGTCACTCCGTAACTCAAACACGGCTCATGAATTGGACATTGCGTAAATGGAATATGCTAGTTGTAGTAATGTTGATGTCAACTTACTCAAAATATGCTACGATGATACTATGTGGAAAAATTGGTATTTGTTACATGTTTAATCAATGGAACAAAAACATTTAATAGTTAATACAATTATCACTGAAAAAAAGCAGTTTGTTAAAATGTATAAATTAAAAAAAATGTTCTTGTCATTACCTACAACAAAGTATTAAGCCGTATCATATTGTCTCCTAGCTCAGTTGGTAGAGCATCGGGACTCCGATGGCAAGAGCCCGGGTTCGAGTCTCCCCACCGTTCGATACACGAGACTCCTGACGGGTTTGATAGGCAATATGTGGCTTTTTTGGCATCCGAATTAACCCGATAGCCTGGAACTGCCCACTGAATCAACGCATTTGCAGCAAGTTCTGCTTAGCGTGGCGCCCGCCTCTCGTCAATGCATCCATTGAAACATTATAACCAGGGGTGCGGAGCCGGAGCCGGAGCCGGAGCCGGAGCCAGAGCTGGAGCCGGAGCCGCCGGAGCCAGCATATTTTGCCTGGAGCCAGAGCCGGAGCCGGAGCCGTGAAACAATATAGCCCGGAGCCGGAGCCGGAGCCGTCAAAAAAGGGGGCGACTCCGGCTCCTTTTTTGAAGAGGAAAAGTTATTGACCTAGTTCGGTTTGATAGTTCAAGGCAGTAAAACAAGCAATATTCAAAATATGAAAATAGCCTTGTTATGCAAATACAGAAGTAACGTGTACAAATCCCATCGTCTTTTTTCTTCCACCCGCATTTTATTGCATAGGGGATGCACTGAGTATTGGAGCCAGAGCCGGAGCCGGAGCCGGATCATTTCACTCGGAGACGGAGTCGGAGCCGAAACCGCCATAGCATTTCACCCGGAGCTGGAGCCGGAGCCGATTTTTTCTCCGGAGCCGGAGCCGGAGCCGTCTGAAATTTCCACGGCTCCGCATCCCTGATTATAATTAAATTTAAAGTTAAAATATCGCTTTCCGAAACACTCGCACCAACCACCGTATCATTGTTCTACAAAGCCTCAACAACAAGGTTGGGTCATCCCTTCCTGACACAGCACAAAGCGACACTAGCAAATGACGTATGGATGGGCGTCTGCCCAACACTCACCTCATGACACCATGGAACTCCAGCTGATCATTGGGCTCAGACAGTTCAAACAGGTCCAGCCGGTTGGCATTCCACTGGGCGATTACATTGCTGAGATGGTCCCGTTGCCGGGCCGTAGCAGGCTCCATGGCTGCACACTGACTGCAGGATCTGAACATAAGGATGATGAAAATAGTTATTACTTGGTAAGGGGATGACAGCTGAGTTTCTGAATAGGCATACTCAATAACATAGACAAGAAGTCATCGCCATGATCATACAGATAAGATCAAAATATGTGATATGATACAACTTACAAGGGAATTGGTACAATACCTAACACCTAAGGTCAAAAATGAAATTAAGTTACAGATACCTTTACAGCTTCGTCAGAATTAAGATACCTTTAGAGTTCTATTCTGCTTTAGTAGTTCCAACCTATCTAATACAAATGCTTAGGAAGCTTGGTAGCTACATTTCCTCTTATGGTAATAGGAAGTGTTAATAAAGGTTCAGGGCCCCAGGACTGCTGAAAAATCATTACCTACATTTATCATGCATGCTGATTACAGTATGTAAACAAAAACAAGACCTCCAGATCTAAAACATTCTTATCTGAAGAGGTTTTGATGAGTAGCAACCATGACATCCTGTGTGATGTTACCTACCAAGGTGGGAATCAGCAGGATGTGAGCCAGTGCATGACTAGTGACAGTTCATCTTTTAACCAAGGCCATCTATAGAAGGTACAGTCACTCCCCCGCCGACCAATCAGAGACAGATCCTGAGTGACGTCACCCCTGATGCTCGCAAGGGGTACTCCATTCCTTTACAACGTAAAAATGACTAACTTCATTTGAAGATTGTTGGTGACACTCTACACATAACGCTCAGCCGTTGATGTCATTGGAAAGTCCAACTAATTTTCTAGCGATAAAAAAGAGCAGCAATATGCTAAGAAATGGCCGGTTTTAAAGATATAGACGATTTAATAATCCTCTGCAGTTGCAGGAAAGCAAGGTAAAAACGCATGGCGCTTATATTTTTACTATGAATAAATCATTTTTCAGTAAGTTTTTAGATATGGTATCGATTTATTCAACAACTTTATTACAATATTTTTATTACTTGGAACTTTATTTCAAAATAATATTTTCAAAAATGGCAACTGTTGGCAAGTAGCTTTGAAGCGATTGTGGCGCACCGCGCCATTATTGTCCTGAGGCCCCCTTATGATGTCATCAAAAGTGGAGTGACATGGGCCTGCTTTTAACTGACCATCTCATGGCAAACAACCAACAGAAAGAGAAAATACGACAATAATTTCGGTCCCAGGGCTAGACGTGAATATTTATAATTCAGAGATTATTTAATACATTATCAAGCATTAAGAAAACAAACCAAACTGCAATACACATCAGCATGCATCATTAGAAATGGCACTCAACTATACATCAAGCTGAAAGGCATAGAGATAGAACCTGAGCTAAATCACCACTCCAACCCAAGGCAGAGTCCCAGTCCAGACTCTAAAATATGACTCACCAAATCCATAACCATGTCTAATGGAAACCAAGTAGCATACTGAAAAAGCTCACCTTTTGATGAAAACGAGGAATTATGTCCACTCAATTTCACCAATGAATTTCAAAAAACATCACAGGCAATTGCATCTCCTCCACAAACGTCTCAACCGTCGCTTGTTTCCTTGGTGCTTGATTCACCGGTAACTAGGGGCAACCAGATATGGAAGCCATGGGAATGTCCAATCAAAAGCAGGATGTAATTTGAGGTTTACTAGCTTCATCATTACTTTCTCAAAATGTGCTTTAAATGTTAACATTGCCATTATTTTTTCCTGAAATTAATCTTTGCCCAACTACTTTATACCAATGATACGTATTAACCAAATTCTATCTGAAAAATCGAACTAAAATTTAGTTGCGGCGTGATTTTTTTTTTAATAAAATCTCTTTCTTTGATATGGTAGCAATATTTGCGACAATCATAGCGTGACAGATACGTTCTCTTTTTGCGGATTTCATTTCAGCGAAATTCATTAGTGACCCAAATCAACAATACGGGATATGTGTGTTGCCTGGTTGGGTGGCGGTTGATCGGCTTTGTTGGGATTAATTTGAAAATTTTGTGGGGTACATTGACGTTGGTGTCAGTCTGTAAGTATATTTGTAAGATACTTGTCAATTGTTCTTTGTTTTTGTTTCGAGTGACTAGTTTTGTCCTACCAGCGGCCAACGTAAAAATGATCAGTCACCAGACACCAATCGCCTGTTCCACCCCCTTCCTGCTTTAACATTGAACAAGGAAAACCTAGAAAATGCCCCACTCTATGACCGACTACTGGCTGTTGTAAGACTGTTGTCATAGATGGTTAAGGTCAAGTATCCTTGCAACCTGTGTACAACTCTCTTGTTTTCCCTTCTTGAGTGTACTCGTAAGAATCTTGAAGTAAACATGGTGGCAAGGGATGTGGGAAGAAACCAGAATACCATACCATGTGTCATTAAAGTGTGATTAGAAGTTCTTCAAAGCAGGCTGGTGCAGCGCAGTAATGGAGTCTTTAGTCCTGTCTCCTTATAATTCTTGTGCTTAATTTGATCATGCTGGCTGTCATAGGGAATAGCTATTAACACACCAATCAAGTTTAAGTATAAGAGTCATTTTTAGAAGGTATTGTGTTTATTGGTGTTTTATTCAGTCTGTTGAAGTGTGTAAGTTACCGACCTATTGTTTGACTCTTGCCTCCAAGTTAACCCACTTTTCCTCAATAATTATCTCACCTTGTTATGTTCCATTCGCTTATTCAGAAAAGACCTGGACAAAGGAAGTGCATTTGCTCTTTTGGTTAAAAATTGATGCATAAAAATGAATGAAATTTAAAGTAGGTGTGAACAGGTACTAAATGGTCAGGCTTCTAGGTAGACATTAAGCAGAGGCATCTCAAATAGCCCTACCTTATGGTATTTCATATTGCCAAACATGTTTTCTAACAAAACATCAGGACTTAGTTATGAAAAAATATTTGTCACTGATGCTTATTCACTTTATATCCTTCATGTAAATGAAAAAAGCTGAGTGTATTGAAGGGCTTAAATTTGGCTATATGTGAGCTTGGCATGCTTTTTATACCTATATGTTTTAACTATTGACTATCCATGTCATGTTTTCAGGTAGGTACTGCTGAGCAGTTCTGGGGTGATGCTGTCCAGAATTAGGTGAGTTGCTCTTCCATTAGCTCCTCCATACCTTTTCATGCTGATTCCTTTTGGAATACACAAATCACTGACATTTCAGGGAATTACTTATGGTGAAAATCGTCTTAGTTACAATTAAATCATGAATGAAAATCAATAAATGGTTAAGTTTTCTTATAAGGTTGTTTCAGTTCCAATTTTTTTTTCTAACTGAACTGGTATACCCTGGTTTTGTTGTTGGATCTTTATTGTCATCACATATATTTTGGGCACAAGCATATTTTAATTAAATTTGATTGTGTACATCAATTTGCCAAATGTGTTGGGTTGTGCTCAGATAGGTAGTTTTTCATGAAAATGTTAAAGCCTAGCATTCTATCTTGCAATGGCGTGCACCTATTTTATTGAAATCCATTTGCCGCACCATTTTGATGTTTTGTTTCTTACAGGGACAACCCTCAGCATGTGTTTGACTGTTTCTGCGAGGTGGTCATTCCGACCAAGGCCGACGAAAAGCCATGGATCGTGCAGAAGTTCCCCGATTCGTACCAGAATGAAGAGACGCTGAAGATGGTGCCCCAGTTTACGTTTCCCTGCGACTTCGAACGGTAAGCCGCCGTGGTTTTTTTCGGTTGCCGATGAATGAAAATGTTTGCTTTGATATTTTGCTATGGTAAATTGAAATCACCCCAGCGACCTAGCGATACCTCATTCACCGATTCTACCGGTAAATTATGATGACTCATCAACTGCCTACCTGTCAGCCCAACATAAAGTATTATGAATAAATAGATGTCAGTATTCACCGGGATGAGACTCGGTATCGCTGAAGTTTATTTATTTTGAGCAATGCTATATCTGATAGTTATCTGAGACTGCGGAGCCGCAGTTGGAGTCGGAGTCGGTCTAAGCCGACAGTTTGTACCGAAGTCGTAGTCACCGGGAATTTTCTGGATTCAGCTTTTGAGTCGCAATCGACATTGCTTTGTTTAACCTTCGCCCCAGTCGGGGGAGGGGGGGGGCATATGTTACCACCCTGTCGCGTTTTTTTTTTTTTTGTGTGTGTTAATAAAAAACTGCGGCGCATAGCGCCGCGCCGCTTTGAGTAGCTTTTTGTACATCAATTTTGGACAATGTGTGAAATTTTTGACCCCAGGTCACGTCAGGTCAGGTCACCAGGTCAAGTTAACTGACCAAGCCAAAAAAAAGTTTGCAATCATGCCCAGCCTGCAGTGTTTGTCAGAGAGGTTTTAAACTTGGTGGATTGCATGATGTTATAGGCGCCTATAATTTTTATATCTCGGACTTTTTATATCCGTGACCTAAGGTCAGCCCAGTGGTGTGACCTTTCCATTACAAGTCAATGTAGAAAAATGAAAATGCCTCTAGATCCGTGTGTACGCATAGGAACAGTCCAAATATTTCAGAATCACAATGATTTGGACCACCCGTGATGACCAAGGTGTTTTTTTTTTTTTGCTGATAGCCTCTAGAAAGGTCATCAGAGGTCATTTGAGGCTACAGACAGATTTTTGCCAATAACTCGCGATTGGAAAGAGATAGAACACTGGGGATGGCCTCTTTGCCTTGTTGAGACGCATCGACTGATATGCAACATGACCTTTTCCGGTCAGGTCATGACCTTGACCTGAGGTCAAATTTCAGAGTTGACCTTTCAAGGTCAAATTATAGCTCATTCGACGCGTCTCGGCGAAAGGAACACGATTCTGGCAATAGAAATGTCGTTGCTTTTTTTAGTCCAAAGTTATTGTCGAAAAACACTTTTAGTAAAAACAGCTATTTTTGGAGTTTTTGCCCTCTGAAGGCTAAACCGTTGACCTGAGGTCAATTTTGATTATGACCTTATCAAAAGAAGAGTTCAAAAGCTATCGAATGCTTTTGCATGCGTTTTTCTAGCTATCATAGTTCCAGAGATAACAGCATGTTTTCTGAAAAATATAATGATAATTGGCAAATTTTGACCTTTGATGACCTCTGGTGACCCCAATATTGCTCTAAGACGAAAAATGACTGAAATAATTTCAAACGTACGCATTAAGAGCTATCGACTGCTTTTTACCGCGTCTTTCTAGCCCTCTTAGTTTTTGAGTTAGAGATGGGTGGTGGTAACATATGCCCCCCCCCCCCCCCCCACTAGGGCGAAGTTGGCTGAGACTGCCACTGGGGCGCGGGTTAAGAAATGCTCTTAGCATGTTTTTATTATGACGCTCATTTGCTACCGGTGTTGTACGCTGACCGCTATATCGGATAATTATCTTGTACCTATCTGGTCAGCGACTTGGTTATCGTCAGTGATCGTGTCGTCTGACCGATTATAATCAGACACATGAGCGGATTCGTACACTGCCGCTCCTGCTAAAGCTTTAGCTTCTCAAGGAATTCGGGCGATCATCCCAGAGCTGCTATCGGGTGAATAGCATAAGGTGCAACTGACGGCGGGCACCCTAATTCAGAATACCCTGGTGAGTGCCGCGCTGCCTATCAGAACCCACTGGCTTTAGCTTGTGACAATTTAAGGGACCCTCCTCGCCCTTGGCGACTTCCTGAAGAAGTGGTTGTTTCTTTCTTGTCTGCTCAGGTATGGGTCGGATCTCGCAATGTTCATTACCACTCAATGACAAGGAGAGGACGGAAACGTACGGGTCTCGAAGGCTTTATCGCCTTTTAGGACCGGACTCATTCATACGATGTCACTCCGTTCTTAACTTGCCGACCCATCAGTGCATCGCGTGCACACATAGAGACGTAGCACGTGAACTTGGTCGCAAGTGCGACCTTTCATGGTAGTTTGGGCCCTTGGATGCCCGTTATCACCTGGCACTGATCATTTGCGCCGGCGATAAAACGCCTGCTCCGAACGGGAATTGAACTCAAGTGGCCCAAGTGGTGCCCCAAGGATTCTGCACCGGTCAGATGGCACTGAACGTTGAACATTGATGGAATGGGCTCTCGTCAACAATACAAGGAACAAGAGGTGTGTCTTGTTTCTCAACCTAGCCGACCAATAATAGACGTTGAATGGCTGGATTTGGACTTGTATTTTGTTTGCAAACATTGGCAGCAATTAATATGAATCCACGAGTCGTTATGCTTTCATTCTTTTTGTTTTAGACGACAGCGTCATTTTTAACGGGAACGGATTCTCATATGATTTTGATCTTTATTTTTTGTTCATTCTTTTTATTCTTGATTTTCCGTGCGTGTCATTGCATGCGCATGCGTCTTTCCTGATGCATTACATGGCACGTCGATATCAATTATATGAAACGACCCCGAACACATCAACATCTTTATACTTTTAATTTGAATATCAGTGACTATCACAACCTGCTGCCCCATGTGTATGGATAGAAAAGTCGTGGCAGCTGGCACCAACTCATTTGGGCCATCCCGCGACGTCGGGCTTGTATTGTATTGTATTGTATTGTATTTACATTTAAGAGCGATCCACATACGATGTGCGTGGCGATTACTGCTCAGAATCCGTATCCGCGGTTGCTAATCTAATCATTCAATACATTTGCACATTCACTCACATCAAAACAAGGACAAAACAGTCTCAGGACAGCCTCATTGCTCTTACCCACCCCCATCCTATTGGTCAGCGACGATGTGCTGATTCATCGTCCACGATTGCGGCTTTAACAGCGCGGGCGAAGCGGGCGGGAGGCAGCTGCGACAGGTGAGGTGGCAGGCTGTTCAGCAGAGCTGCAGCTCGATAGCCAAACCGCCGCTTGCCCGTTTCCAGCCGCGGACGGGGAAGATGGAAGAGGTGATCTTGCCTGGATGGTCTCTCGCGGATAGCGCTATTAGCGACGAACAGGGCTGCTAGTTGCTCGGGTTCTCGGCGCTGTATGACCTTGTGTGCGATGACAAGGGTGTGGAAATCGGACATACCGCGCGGGGACAACCAACCGAGTTTTGTTCGCAGGTCGGAGACATGGTCAAATTTACGGCGGCCGAAAATAACTCTAGCGGGGAAGTTAAGAATTTTTTGGAGTCGATCGAAATTTTTTTGGGACCCATTACCATAAACTGAAAGGCAGTACTGGATACGCGATACAACGAGTGCCGTCACGAGCGTTCGAATGATGCCATCTGGGAGACAGTGGCGCGCATGTGAAAGACCAATCAACAGTCCCGTACACCGGCGGCAGAGTTCAGAGACGTGTGCGTCCCATGACATAGTGCTGTCGAAAGTGACGCCAAGGTTCCCGACCTGTGCGCACGGTTGCAACGCTGCGTCGCGGAATGGTACTCTAAAGTCTGGTAATTTACGTAGATTTTGACGACTGCCAAATACAATAAGCTGTGTTTTACTTGCGTTCACTTTGAGGGCGTTAGCGCAAAACCAGTCGCTGAGAGACGCGAGCGAGTCCTCCATGCGCGAGATGAGAACTTCGAGGTCCCGAGCTGGACCGCTAACCAATACTTGAGTGTCATCGGCATACTGAAACACTTTTGCGTCGCCCGCGTATAGCGATAAGTTGTTAGAGAAAATGGTGAAAAGAAGCGGCCCTAACGCAGAGCCCTGGAAGACACCCATGGCATTAGAAAGAGGCCTAGACAGCACTCTACGTCCGGATACATCTTTCAAAGACACGCTCTGAGTGTGTCCATGTAGATAGGAGGCGAACCAGGAAATTTCAATGCCGTGTAACATCAATTTTTGCATCAGAAGATCGTGGTCAATCACGTCAAAACATTTACTGAGATCTAGAAGGCATAGCATTGACAAATCCCCCCTATCAGTGGCGGCCAGGATGTGTTCAGTGACGGACAGCAACGCGGTTTCCGTGGAGTGCCGGGGGCGGAAGCCGTGCTGGGAGGATGCCAGAAGGTGATTATGGGAGAGGTAGGCGTAGAGCTGCTGATGGACAATGCGTTCAACTACTTTCATGATTACAGGAACTAGGGAAATGGGTCGGAAGTTTGCGGGGTCTGAAGGGTTACCGGACTTGAACAGAGGGTGAACTATGGAATGTTTCCATGAATCGGGGATGTCAGATTGGATTAAGCAGGTATTGATAATATGCAAGATGACACCACCAATAGCGGGGAATCCGAATTTCAGCATGCGGACACAGACGTTGTCGGAGCCACAGGCACTCGAGTTACGCATGCTGAAAATAATCCGCTCGAGCTCCCCCAGTGTTATCTCACGAAGTTGAAAACTGCATGCGCCGACACGGGTGAGACGCACATCCAAATCGGTGGGAGTGTTTTGGGCTCGGATCTCGTCAGCTTTTAGTGCCGAGCGCAGGGCCGCCGCCGTCGCCAGCCACTGGAACCCGCACCGTTCCGCAGGCATGAGAGATGGGTCAAATCATCATTGTTGTGCGGCATTAGGTTAATCAGACACGTTGTTACAATCCGCCCCCCCCCCCCAGAAAAAACTAAACGTCAGTTTTATTCATAGATAAGCTACTGTGGGCGTTAAATGGAAAATTAGAATATAAACACGATAATAGGGACTAGGGTGCTATGGAGCTTCTTTCCCTTTCAAACTCTTTCAGATTATTCCCTTCCAAAGTCGCTCCATTTTGAAAGTTATCTGTGTTTGAATGTATATTTTTTCTGAAACATT